CCCCAAAACCCCAAAACCCCAAAACCCCAAAACCCCAAAGTTGAGGTACTTTATTGAAACTATCCAAGAGAATAAAACTCTTCAAAAAATCCAAATTTATTTTTGAATTTGATAGTCTGTTCTTGCCCTATTTTGAGTTCTCCAGAATAATATCCAAATTTGCAATAGAAATCAACTTTGAAGGGTATGAAGTGCTTCAAGAATCCAGGATAATAGTTAAATTCAGTAAAACTATGATGTTCTCTCTTGAACTCCAGTCTCAAAGAATTAGGATATCTATTCGAATTTTCCGCTTTAGTCCACTTCCAGTGATCTTGATCCACTTGTTTCTTCACCATTGGATCTATTTTATACATAGTGCCATTAACAAAGACCGAATCAAAACTTGAATTGGGATTGTCATCTGAATATTTGAGATCTATCATGATTTGATGTTTATCTGTTTTAAAAATAGTTGAAGTCCAGCCCCATCTGATACTCGAAATCCCTGCAAAAGAAGGAAAATGCCCTCTTCCGCTATCACTTAAGCCGAGTCAGTTGTTTGTTTCATTACAGTCAAGTATCGTTTTGCCGTTGAGAGTAAGATTGCCTATAAATTTCTGTTGGATTTTATGTGTGTACACATGCTTGGTGCTACACAAGGAATCTCAATTCTGGAATGCATCAGGCACCTCACTAACTGTAGCAATTCCTTCATATTCTGCAAAGGAGGTTCTAAAGGACCCTTTAATTTCAGTTTCGATATCAGAGGATCCATGATCAGAATGCGATCCAGATGAACCTATATTTAATGTTAAAAGTCGAATATTTTCACCTAAAGTTTACAGGCATCCATAATTCTTGAGAAAGATCTTTGAGTTAACTGTCATTTTACTGATGTAAATAAGCGGGCCAAGAATTTATAACTAGATTCAGAAGGATCCGTTGTCATATAATGTTAGTAAGATGCCATTTAAATACTGTAGTGTATATAACAGACTTTGATGAATTATTGACAAATTTAGTCTAAATATACGGAAGGTGCTTTTTTAATGATATTTAATAACTCTAAACAAGCAAGAAATTATAGAAATCTAGTGGAATAGGATCCATAGCATTTTTAATCAGAGTTATTGCAACCTGTTATCTAAGCCTAGGATCTTACCTTCGCCGGTGGGCAATAAAGCTTTTGCTGAGATATCAATTCTCCCTTCGTTATTTTCAGGTCTTTTATAAAACGTCATGTTAAGTTTTTCATTCGTCACAGTTGAATAGATACCTTGGCCATTCTTTTCAGTATCTATTTCGACAAAAATTTTGTTAACATCTAAAATTTAGGAAGGAGCAAATACCTTCAACTACTATTTCTCTAAAGGGCTCGCTATAGGAATATTAAAGGATGAATTTTGATACTCAAAGAAAGTGAAGATATTTTAGAAGTTCTTTAATTTAGTCCGATTGGAAGATTTGATGCATTAAATCTCGAAGAAAAACCATATAGCATAAAAAATGATTTTATTAGCACTTACGCGGTATAGTTTTTAATATTCCTAATGTTAATATGAGAGACTCTGATCATCCCTATGTCTGCATGGGACATTGTTACTAAATAATCATCAGTAGCAATATAATAATAGTTCCAGAACTGCTTGCTCCATGTCCAAGCTTTGCTCATTGAGGGATTGTACAGCCATTTATTTGGATATTTTCCCCATCCTTGCTGTCTTAGATATCCTGTCTTTGGATCAATTAATTCTAGCGCATCTGTGCTATTAAGCTCTGGAAGGATCTTAGAATAATCTGTTTTGATAGGTAAGTAAGGTAGTTTTGTGATATAGAATAGCATCGAAAGGAGCCATCCAATAAGTATCACACATGAAACTGTTTTTCAGTTCATTTTTATCATATTATTATAAAAAGTTGGGGTTTTGGGGTTTTGGGGTTTTGGGGTTTTGGGG